CAAATTTGTTTGTTTATTTTTGTAAAATGCACATTTTAAGTTATTTGTTTAAATGTCTTTATAAAATTTGACCATATTTTATAATTGAAATCATGACATAAAAATTCAATTATATTTTTGTGAAAGGGACTTATATGAAAATGGTTGGTCTGCTGTAGATTAAATAGCTTCATACATCTCATCTTCAGTTTTAGTGGCAGCTTATCTAATCCTCTTTTTATCTCATAATAAAAAAATAATTTAGCTAATCAAATTAAATTGTGTTGCTGAATCATGCCATGTCCATAATCTTTTCTCTTTTCTTTTCTGCTTTTTTTTTTTCTAGTTGTCTAATTTTAATTGATGAGAAAAAGGAAAAATGTATAGATGCATAAGCATATAAGCATGATGAATAAGGTGGCTCCCATCATGATGAATCATTGTTTGGCATGAGTCAAAATTGTGGGGACTTATTTTTTTGTCCTAATGATGTTGGATTTTTATTTTATTTTCCACATGACTACATTAGATGATGAATAAGTATCCCCACACGTGCACATGCATCATCATCACCAAGCACAACCTCCTCAAAATTGGCATTCAATGGTCAAAACCAGACACAGCATACAAGGTTTCAACACATCTCAAAGTCTTGTTGGTTTTTGTAATATATAAACCTCATGTTTCTGGGTTTTGTTCTGTTGAAACATTAAGCTTGAAATTTGAAAAGGACAAGGAGGAGATGAGGAGGATTTTTCACCTAGACTAGAAGATATAATATATATTCTTATGCTTTGAGATTACAGAGAAGAAAAGGAATCATGGAATATGTTGGTGGAAAGGAGAAATGATTCTAGAGAATACATTTGTGCCCAAAATGGACCATTACGAATCATTCTTAGGTTACCAATAGAAGTCAGTATATGTTGAACAAGGGTCCAACTTTAACCCCCACTACTTCAGAACATTAGCATTAGCATATATGGATGTTTGAGCACATATTCCTTCCTTTACTCTCATCCCTCTTTCAATACCATATGGAGAGTGCTAGTTTGAAATTTGATTAAAAAAATATTGTCCATGTGTTAAAAGAATACAATTTCATTTCAACTACGAAAAAGGAATTTCAACCTACCATATGAGCCCATTTTTATAATTTTTTTTAAAGACTAATCATCAAATAAGAGATTAAAAAAATTATCTTTCTTTCTAATAAGGTAGAAAATAAGAATTCCTATATATTTTAATAGAAATTATTGTTGAAGATGCACTATGGATTCGGGGGATAGATCATAGATGGAAGACTTCTGATGAGAGGGGTTTAAGTGGAGTTCCCTATTCCCATTTCCCACTTACTTTACTCTCTTCAAAAAGACAAGCTTTTAAAAGGGAAAAAAAATGCTCAATCTTTTTAGAGTGCAAAAGTTAATTATTCCTCTCCCCCACAAAACAACATCAGCAAGAAACCAAGACAATGACTCCTCTTCATTTCACCCCTCCTTTTGAGGGCACACAAGCCCTATGCCCTTGCAATGAGTGCTCATGCATTAACAAAAGAATCCCAATCCCTCCCCCCTCCTTATCAATTTGATTCTTTCCCCCTTTACAATCCCCTCTAAATTTGCCAGACTTTCTAGGGCAAGTCAACCACAAAGCTGAACCCTTTTACTTAATTATTCCATGGGATTTGAATTTCTCTAGCTCCTCTTATGCTGCTCCCCACTTTGCTAGTGATTAACAGCAATGCCATTTTGTCTTGCCCTTAAAAAATACTAAATCTAAACAAATACTCCATTCAAGGACCATTGATCTTTTAAATTAATTTACCTCGGTTCAACCAAATTAATCTATTAACCATAGTACAAAACTTATATTCTTTATGTTAGTATTGAGTTATTTCAGCTTTATTGTTTATAATATGTCAAATTAAATATAGATAAAATACAGTATACTCAAAGACAAATCATACAAACTGAGATTAAGAAATTCAAACATTCATTGACATGGGGAGTGCAAGGGAACAACTGGCGCCCTATAGTGGCTTGGCCTTTTTCCTTAATCATGAGGCCACATGGATATCTATTGATCATGTTAAGAAGTCAAACCTAATCCATGCAATTGAGTGGGGTCCAAATCAATGGTGATCAACATCATTGTCCAGAAGCTTGAGTATGCAAGTCTCTTTCTTTGGGTTCATTCATCATCTTCATCTGAAGAAATGGGAGAAGAGCTAATGAGCATGGCTCCATCTAAAAGTTGGCGCAAATGGCTCCTTCAATTAGGGTTTATTGGGCTTTTGTTAATTTATTTGCTTAATTAATAAATTACTTTCTTCCAAAAGTGAGCTGGTTAATAATTATCTCAAGCTCAAAGAGAAAAACTGGTAGGTTTTTAAAAAGCTGAAGAACTTTTATAAAATGATGATGACAACTAATGTGATAAATATTAAAATTTTTTGGTATATTTGGTAATAGGTTATATAAAATAGAATAACCTTCCTTTCTTTTTTCCTTAAATCCAACCCACTTAATTTAAAATTTAAAGTTGAGATCTTTAGATTAAAATCTCGAACTCCTAATTAATTTGAACTATCCTTTAAAGCCAGGATAGATCTTAGATAACAAGGAGAGAAAAGCTACTTAGTTACATATGATAAGGCTCAATACCTAACTAAATCTCATCACTAAAATAAATTAAAGGATTATTGATCTTCACTGAGCAGGTCTGGTGTTTTAGCATATGTATGTGTTACTCATTTGATACACGTCAGAATCTGGCCCGCTTTTGGTCTGCATTGTTAAGCCTGAATAGTATTACTCCATAAAAAAAAGTTATAACAAAAAATGTTTCATGATATGGGTCAAGACAACTAGCTTAGTTTGGGCAAGCCCAGATCATGTCCATGTCCAACCAAGTAATGGGCCAGTTGAAATTTTCATAGAAACAATAGGCCCTCCAAGCCTCCCTATGCGGCACCCAGCAAAAAGCTAATTAGGCCCAGAGGCCCTTGTCGTTACAAAAGTCATACTTAAAGGTGAGTATTAGGTACAGATGTACCAACGTGGGATTGGATTAAGTGGCAAGCGGTTTATTCCAGTTTAAGCAAGATGCTGGTCGAGTCCAGAATAGTCGGGACGAGCCCCGGATACCGGGTGGAAAACTTAAAAAAAAAAAAAGGTACAGATGTATTCATTATTTGAAAGTATTTTATCTATTTGGATAAATATCATATCCATACGGCATAACGAACGACTAAATGATGATATAAAAATAACATACTTATAATTATTCAATTAATTAACAAATATAGAGATGTAAAATTGTTTATTTGACATGTTTAACTTATTTATTTAATTTACTTGTTACTTATATAATTAAAATTTTATATATATTTATTATACTTAATATCTATACAATAACAATAGTTTTTTAAAAATAAAAATAATAAAATATAAAAAATAAAAAAAAAGTTAAGTAACAAATCATATACGCAATAATAATAGCTTACATAAATAATCAACTTTAAATTAAACACATAATATATATAATAATAACATCTTATATTATCTCATATTATGAAACCTATATAATATATAATAATAAGTATATATATGTAAGTTACTCAATATCTATTGAGTTAAGTATTAAATATAAGTTTTCGAGTATTTAAGTAGATACCAAATCTAAAAAACTATACCAAAAAAATTTTCAAGTTAATTACCAAATATATTTCATACATAACTTGTCTCTAAGTATGTTCACCAAAAAAAATATATTTATATTTTTTAATAAAAAAATATTATACAACCTAAATTACACTAAACAGATATTAAGGGCTGCTCTCTCATCCTCATCTAATAATTTTTATTTTACAATTCGATATAATTTGAATTGCAACACAAAAATCTCTCTCTTAAATTTCTCCTAATGACAATGATAGTATAATGAAATGCCAATGAGGATTTACCACAACAACAACATGGGATTGACTTGCCCATTCTATTTCAGTCTTTTAGGTAGTGAATATTCCAGTAATTGGTATGTATCCTCATCTCCCAGATGTCAAAACTTCTAGCAGATATTACATGTTCATCCAATTCTTCAAATAGTGTTCCATGTTATCTCAACATGTATCACTCCATTCCTTGAATTGATTAGATGGTATTTCTCGTTGATACGTCCATTGTTGACAACATCACTGAGATTAATTTCCACATGACCTAATGATTCCTACACAACAGAAAGTTTGAGTCAATTTGCCCCACAGAATAGATTAAGAAAAATGTAGTACAAAATGGAAGTAACCATATACCTTGGGTCGGAAGTTAATGCCTCGCGTCTTGCTCATAACCTTAATAAGGATTTTATCATGCAAAGGTGGTTCCTCAAGCATAAACTGAAATTCTTCGTTCCAGAGGGGATCACGAGTTTTCCTTAGCCTCTGACAACTCCGAATTGCAGATACAGACATGAGAAAGAAATTATAGGGTAAAGTAGAAAAATGTCATAAACATAATTGCTGAACTGAATCCTTTGAAGTTTACCTTTGTCCTCTTCACTTCTCCTCTAAAAAGCACTAAAACATAAGGATTGTTGTGATGTTCCCCCTCAACATCCTCAGCCCCTCGAACCATAACTGAAAGTAAGCCTGCTCCACTCAGAACCTCCTCATCAGATGACTTATCAATTCCACTTTCCACTCTCTCGTATCTTTTATCCAGGGAGCCATCCAACTTAATGCTGTCTTCTTTAAAAGGAACATACGTTAGCTCCACCGTTATATTCCCTCTTTGCTTCTTGTCATGAGGCTCACTAGTAATACTGGTGTTCTTCAGCAAATCAAGATTAAACTCCTTCGTCTCACTTGGTGTAAGCAATTTCAGGGGGACCAACTGCATTCCTAACCGGTCGTGTGCCCCTACCTGTAAATAAGAACACACACGAAAAAAGAAAAAAAGAACAGTCATAATCCTTGTTTGGACAAAATCTCATTGTTTCCCTAAAGAAAAATGATTGATATACACTCGGTTCAATATATTTTTTGATATTCATTCCAGTTCATCTATTAAAATATAATATTAAATACAACTAATTCATTTAGTTTTTGTATCTTGTATATATATGATTGAATTTTTAAATTCATTTATTTTTAATTTTATATTAAAAATAATAATTTTTTAATAAATATGTTCTGTAATGTACTGAATAAGAGTACGTATCAATTACTATCCAAAAGCAAAAGCTGTTTTCCACTTCACTTTCTCATCAAAAAAAAGGAGAATACCTTGTCCCAGTCGAAGACTAGTAGCTGAAGAATTTGAGATTGGGGGTCCTTCACAATAAGCTTGAAATTCTCATTCCATTCAGGATTTAAGTTTCTCTTCTTTATGGTGGTTTTCCTTGCAGGCAGTTTCTCTCCAGTCAGGCTAAGTTTAACGTAAGGATCAGATGTACCCAGGAAATCCTTCTTCAGGAGCTTTTGTGCCCTCACAACCTTCACATGTAATATTCCCACAGGCTTCTTTATTGCCACTCTATTAAAGGACAGAAAAGAAGCATAAGATCTTTTATCTTGTTATGTGAATCAAAAGAAAACATACTTCCTTGTGCATGCAAACTTACGTGGAAGAATCAAGAATAGGTATCTCTAGAGTTTGGGGCCAGTGGTAGAGGCATGCTACTTGCTTTTTAATAGTCTCCTGGAATCAACTAGAATGTTTAGCAGACTAGCCTAAAACCAAAGTGCCAAGTAAATATAAACCATCCACCGTATAAGTGAATTTCAATCTTCAAAAAATGACAAAAAATCCAATTCCTTATTCCCTTATAAAAATTACCAGTGAGCACCTGAATATATCGATAAAGGCCAGGTATGGCCATAATGTCCCCTCCCATTATCTTCATTCCAAAATCTACCTGAGGCTGCAGACAGATCAGAAGATAATGAGAAAAAAAAAAAGGTTGATCTTATGGTTCTCTTTGAATTTGGAATAGCAAATGATACCATAAACTCTATATTCTTCAATGCTCAATGTTTTGCTCACCTTCTCCATTAGAGATACCACAATATTTGCAAAACATGGAAAGGTAGGCACGAGAGGTTTCAGCGCTATCCTTGGTGACACAAATACTTGTAAATCCACTAACTGTGAGGAGAGACAATCAATGCCAATAACAGAAGAAAAAAGGCACACTTCTACTGTCAAATACCATGTTTCTGGGCATTTCTGACCTGAACTTTGATTTGAAAAGACATCAACTTGATCACCAAAATTATATTTGGATTTCCAGCCCATCTAACTGCTGGTTCTATTAGTAACTCTTTCTCATTAGTGTCATAGACTTTGACGCCTGCAAATGAAAAGGTACACAAAATGTGAAAAGATAAACATAAAAGACATATCTGAATTTGGTTTCAAAACACAAACCTGCGTTGTGGCAAGTGGAACAGAAGATGCAGTCTTCTCACCAAGGACATTAGAACACTTACCAGTAATTACCGGAGGAATGGTTCCAAGACTTAGTTGCTCAAACTCAATTGATTCTATCTGGAACTTTCCAATGTACTCTGCAAGTATAGGTTCTGCAGTGCTTCTTATGTTACAACAAATTGGCTGTAAATCAGCGTGAACTCAAGTTCAATTACTGAGATAATCAAAGAGATTGAAAACATTTAAGCACAGAAACCACCTTATCAAGGTAAGGCCACATAATTTTAACAAACTTGTTTAACCAGTCTACCTGCAAAGTTGCACAAAGTATTTTCAACAGAGTGACTGCAATATATGAATATAAGTACGTTCAATGAACCTAATTCTTAATATTACTACTTACTCTCTCATAATCAGGGCTCTTTACCCATAAAGGAATATCAGGTAGAAGTTCCAGCAAAGTATCTGTATCCAGTTCATGAAGTGGCCTAGGAAAATGCTCCTGCATTGAATATTAATCGAAGTACATGTTTAAAACTTTTGGAGCAAAAACTTATCTTCCCCTCGATAAGAAATTTCGATTGGCAAGAAACCACATAGTTAAAGGAAAGTTAATTGAGCTACAATAGAGGCTGCAAGTTCAATCAATTCAATCTACTAGCCTCTACTACTCCAGACAAATACTTGATGAAATTGAATAGAACTTCCTTCAAAACAATCATAAAAATGTTTTCTTTGACATTTCCCCTGCAAAAGAGCTATTTAGTCGGCAGACTGAATCAATCTGTGTCTCTAGATGTTCTCGTTAAGTTTCATCATCAGATCTATAAAAAGTTTTCACAACTACTCTAACTGCATGAGAGGAAGATGTCAATGCTTAAAAGCAACTCATCATAAAATTTAAATGCCTCAATAACACTAAAAGCAAGAAAAGGAAAGGATGGATATCTCTACATACTTTCAAATCAGTTCTCATGTCATTATGGAGTCCTATTGAAGGAACAACTCAACTTCCAAGTTCAAAACCACAAATTCCTGATTGCAAGAGAGAAACTAGAAAAACTCATTTTTAATCCTTTTTTTTTTTCATTTGTTGACTTCATGAATAGACTCGAATCAGCTACACATTACAAACCCCAAATCACGAAAAAAGAAAAAAACAAACTAAAGACAAAACAAAGCAAAAGCCAAAAAAATAAAAACTTTCCGGTAGAAGATGCACCAATGCAAACGCAGGAAACCAAAAGAAGAAACTCATTTTCGATAGACAAAAGGAAAGAACCGATCTTGCAGAATGGACAAAACAGCAAACACAAAGTGGAGCAGCAATCAAACACACAAAATACAAATACAATGAAGGAAACAACAGATACCCAGATGATTCCTACCCCAACTCACCAACACTGGCCGAAATGCTCCATGAAATCTCAAAAAAGATACGAGCTTTGAAGAACAAATTAAGAAGATGAAGTTATGAGGAAAACGTCCAAACCTCTATTTCATCGGGCTCAGAGTAAATGAGGAAATAGAACCCAACTACGAGTCCGATCACAGTTCCGATTACAAAGCCAGTAATTCCCAGTAAACTGCTGAGGAATCCCATCTTTCCCTCAAAAATTTTCCGGAAAAGGAAAAAACGCTTGGCGTTGGCGCAAGCCTACGAAGAACGGAAGCTCCCCCCCTATGAGACTCGAGACCGCCAAAACATGGTCTTCTTTCGAAATAAGATTGTCACGGTTTTAACATTACAGATACATCAAAGTGACCATAATACCCTTTCATATTTTCTCACTAATTTTTGAAAAATGTCCTTTTCTTCCCATTATTAGTTTTATAGGAGATTATCGGGTGCACAAGCAGTTGGAAGTTGGAACCTTCTTTCTTTCTTCCTCCGTTTTTCCTTTTTTTTTTTTTAATATTATTTAGTTTTTTTAGAGAGAAAATGCACTCGGGCGTTGCTCGTGAACAATTAGCATTTCATTTTTAATATTTTGGTAGTCAATGAAAATGTTAATTAATTTTTTTTAAAAAAAACATAAATGAAGGCCATTTTACCATTCTTGCACTCCATCTTGTAAAGTGCATTTTTTTACCATACTAGAGTATTATAGGTCTCAACAATATAGAAAAAAAATAAGGATGTTTAATTTCATCAATTAAAAACGCCTGCTGTTCAAAAAAAAAAAATCAATTAAAAACGCCTTAATAATTATTACGTGTGTGAGGACTTAAATTTCTTTTTATTTTTATCAGATTACCAAAGGACTGAAAAACCCAACCCAAGGGAAAAGGGAGGGGGATGACCTCGAACTCGAGGCCTATGAGTACTCTTATGCGGGAAGTTACTAATTGCTCTATCCAAGAGTTCTCGAGAACTTAAATTTTTTGAAAGTATTAAAACTTAAATTTATATATCTATAAATATTTATAGTGGGTTTAATAAACAAAATAAAAAAGATTTATAATAATAAATAGAAAATGGGATTGGGATAACATTAATTTAAATTTAGATTTGGAATTAAGAATCTGGTTGTGTCAATCTATTGATTATGTCATCTTAGTTGAAGAATTGGTTCCTTAATATAAGAAAAAAGAGAAGGGTACAAAGGGGTATTTTGGGGTGACATTATTGAGATGAATGACGTCTAATAATGTTAAGGTTGGTTAACTCTGACCTGGGACAATGCTAAGTCTGGGACAGGTCATATGTTTTATTTTATGTTATAAAAATGACAAATACATAATATAATTTGTAAAGACACTGATTGGTGCACACTCGGATCCCACACTCAGGTGTGCACCCCCCACATAAAAATTAAAAAAAAGTTAGATCAAGTGATGGGTTTTTTTTTTTTGGTTTATATGGTGTGTGCACACCAAATGTGAGATTCGGGTGTACACACATTATTATCCCATTTGTAAAATGGGAGAAAGTGAGAAAGACAATCTCTTTTTCTTCAAACAAATAATATTTTTGCTTAAGTTAAGACATTGGAAAAGCAACATTAGGCAGACAGAGACAGACTTTTGCAGTTGGCCAACTGATTAGTATTGGTTGGAAAATGCTCTTTAATCGAAGAATTTGATGCCACATAGAATAAACCTTCCTTAGATATCTACATATTTATATTAACTTAGCTTTCTGATCGAAGCTGTCATAAATTTGTCCATAAAGTGGAGGATATATATAAATTATGTGTTTTTTTAATTAATTTGTACAT